CGGTGAAGGCACAGCACTGCGCAGCAACACGGCTCGGGCTGTCCACTATACAAGGACAGCAGACAGGGGCGGCGAGGAAGAGCTATACAACCTGCAGCCGCCACACGAGCAGGGTGCAACACGGGAGCCCTCCGAAGGGGTCGTGATGCAGAGACCCTGAAAGCAACTACAGAGCAGAGTAGGCGACGGCGCCACACTCTACAGAGCAGCAGCAACCGGATGATGATGACGACGAGGCGTGCGGAGACCAGGTCTAGCCTGGGCGCAGGACAAAAGCAGACATGCGGGGAGCAACGGTGCGAGGGTCACTAACGGCGCAACGCCGGGCAGTCCCCACTCGCACCGCGCCCCCCGCAAAATCAGACATGCGGGAACTTACCTCCGCTCTTGGGGGGCAATCCCCTGGACAGCCGTGACAGAACCTCTTTCCCTGCTTTGGAGGGGGGGCTGTCCGTCTTGCAGGGCTTCGACAAACTCTGCGCATTCACCGCCGCATGAGCAGCAGCAAACGGATCCAGGAGCAGCAGACAGGAGGACCGATCGATCCACCCCGCACTCCAGGAAAGACACGGACCCACTGTACAGGGTCAGTCAAAGAAAAATAAGGTACAGGCAACAAGCGAGCCGCGGCAGCTGCTTGCAGCAAACTAATTGGCAGGGAAGATTTAACGTGTTACAGTCAGCCCGTGGCCGACTAGCCTTGCCAGCCGTGCTGGCGAATGTTCCTGACCAAGTTTTTCAACAAGCGTCCAGCGCAATGTGGGGATGAGGATAAACGAGGACGCCGCCGCAAGCGTCATCGCAACAAAGTGCCTAAGACTGCCCGCTGTGCCGCCGTCACCACAAGGAGCCTTCACCCCGTGGCCGCGCAGCAGCGAGCAAGGGCCGTGCAACAGCAGTGGCAGGAAAGTGAACCGCATCACACACCCTGAGCAAAGGCACAATTAAAGTTGACAAAACGTATTGACATCCACCCGCACTCCTGGTTTATTGTATGACGGGTGGAGGCCCTTTTGGAGACGACTCCAAGGATTACAATGCGAGGCCCGTTTCGAAGGCTCACACTTCTTACCTAGGCGATCAAGCCGACCCCCCGACGTGTAATAACCACATTTGTGGCAAATGCAAACGAAACTACCATCCGTACAGTCTATGAGCACACATCTATGCCCTAGATCACTAAGAACTGACGGGTGCACGTGCAAAGCGAGCGAGCATGACCCACCAGGAGGTTCGACGCCAAACTTGCCACGACGACCACGCAAGCACGTAGCACATTGCCAATACGAGCCTACCCAATGCCATTCATGAGAAGGTTTCGCAGGAGCCTGCTCTTTAGCAGGTGGCTTGATTCGCTCTATATCTTTGCCCATGTCTAATCTAGGCCACAAAGACATTAATCTAGCACCCAAACGTCCAACAGCTCGGGCCACGGCCACGGAACGATCAAGACCCTCACGAAGCTCGACCGACGAGGCAGGATGCAAAGATGCCGCAACCTTGGCCGAGGTATCAGCCCACGCATTGCCTTGTCTTAAATAGCGATCCCTTTCATCGACCGCTTCATCGACAGCAAGATGGGCTTTCACTTTGGATACCGTGACTTTGTGCATGTGCGGACGAGCAAACTGAGCCACGCCAGCAAACATATACCTGGCTGAAATCTGTTCCATCCAGGGCATCCTGAAAAAAAAATCACAACATTTAAACAGTCCGAAAAAATGTCACACTGGCCTGTGCTCCACTGAATGGCGATAGACATGGCAAAAAACTCGGCTGCTTGTGGAGTCTGGGGGCATGGCCCCCAAACTGGTCCTCTGACTCTCACTAATTCAAGCCCAGTCTCCCTGTCCACCAAAGTGAAGGCCCAGCCAGCTCGGTTCAATTCTTTCACAATGTAACGCGAACACGATCCATCCACGAACATGTCACCAGTGAACACACTATGAAGGTCCCCAATTTCTCCTTGGGCCCACTCCACCTGAATACCACCTGTATCCAACGGAGCAGGAAAAAACATCACCCGGGTGAGGAAACACCCCGAAGACAGCCAAGTTGTCGTCCACCTGGCTCGCCCACTTCTGGATCTTTATAGGCACAATCGAGTTCCTTAGTTCGACTACATCAGGACACTGGCATTCCCACAATCTATGGCGGAGCGTATCAGGCGCCTCGCCACACAGCGGGCACAACACGCTCTGCAGCTGGTAGCCTAGGTCGGCCGCACGCGTACGAGTGTACACCGCGTTGCAAAAAAGCGCCCTCAGACAGCCTTTTTCAAAGGCAGAATACTTCGTGCTCTGGAGATAACTAAGGACCCCATCAGTGCAAACACGCCCAGACATGTTCAGACGAGCCCCCATGTCCCACTCGAGACCTCTCACAACAGCTTTGCGAAGCAAATTCTTAATCAAAGTAGGCGAGAATTCCGTCAATTTCAACTCCTCACCCTTGTCAGTTCTAAAAACAGCGAAGGAAGGCATGGACCAGGAAATCCGTTCACAGGATTTTCTCAACGCCGTGATCGGCCCCGAAACCGACCGCCACAAAGGGGAGTCTCCCGAGAAACCAACGTCCCACGCCTCCCTGAGTACGGGGAGCGAGAGACAGTGGGGGTAGGTCCGATGGTGAGCAATCCATATTTCCTTCGACCATCTGACCATCGGAGCGACCGACGCATACCAACATGGCTCGCCATGCGAAAGAAGAAGAGCCGTCAGCGACCTTCCAGACGCTGATGGTTGCAAGACTGACGCCGCCTGGCGCCGCAATCTCAACAGCTCGAAGTCGCTCACACCATATATTTCGGATCCGAAAAGCTCCGAGGCCAAAGCTCCCGAGGCAAAAACGTTTTTGGTCACACGGGCCCCAACCAGAGGCCTCAAGCGGGCCAAACGGGAAACAAAACACCGAGCTTTTTGTTCACGCTTCTTTTGCTTCGAGCTCCTACCAGCAACACGTCTAGGGCGTCCCACACAATCATCAATTCCTAGGTTCGCCGCTGAACTGACTAAGGGGCCAGCCAGGCCACCTAGGGCCTGAGCGAGATCACGCCCAAGCGCCTTAGAAGAAGCGATCAAGGATCTCTTTCCCACATCTTGACTCACCTTAGCACCGATCCCCTCCTCAAGAATAAAAACCAAGGCTCTGACCACCGGTGGCAGATGCTCCACAATGTATCGCCGCGACCCCGTAGCGCTGAGGCCAGAGTCGTCGATATACAACTTAAAATGCACCTGTGGCGGAATGCACAGCATGTCGAGGGAAGCGATCGAGTACACTCTGATCAACGTGGTGGCAAACGTACACCCCGCGATGATGCCCCCCAAGGCCCAGAAGGGCCCATCCACAAACCCGTTCAACACAAAAAACCGAGCCTGAAGATACATCGAGATCGCGAGCCGAGCGATCGCGAGGGGGAAATTCACCTGCTTGCAACGCCACAGGAGCAACTTGAGATCAATTGTCTCATAATATTTGTAAAGATCGAGCAGGACCGTGGCAGCTTCATCCTTACTCAAGGTCGAGGTCTCCGCACGAACCGCCTGTCTCCACACCACGTCCTGGGCCCCCTCAAAGGGCCCAGCCGCGAAAAAACTCCTGGCGTTTTTGAACTCCCACTCTTGGGCCAGGGGCCTCCGCACCTTACCGTAAGCACGGTAGATCGCACAACAATTCCCTATCGGGCGAAAACCAGAAGCTGGTTTCGGGATCAGCTTAAGGAGAGTGATGGCCACCTGTCTCGGTATCAGCGCCGTGAGCTCCATCACGGCAAACAGACCACACAGAATTCTGAGCAGCTCATCACTCATGAAAGAGAAATGCCGCATGTGAAATCCGTCGACGCTGACAGAAGTGTTGATTTTGAAACGCCTGGAAAACTCACGTATCGCCTCCACAGGAACCTCAGGAAGTTCAGGGGCAAGCTCACCGACATGGAACCAGGGACCCCCACCAGCATCCCCCCAGAGGTCGGAAAAACGTTTGGACTCAGCTTGGAGCAACGACAAAGGGTCCGCCACCACCACCCCGTCCAAGGACAGGGTGGTGGTGGGGACCCATGGCGTCGCTCCTTTGGAAACGGTGTGGACCCTTCGGGCTCCCCGATTAGCCTTGAAAAGTAACCACTCCTTGAACTCTTTCCTGGCAAGTTTCCTAGAAGCAGCCTCGATGTTCACTAGCATGTCACGGCACATCTCATGCAAGCGATGGAAAAAATCAAGCATTGGGCCGTCTGCTGGCTCGTACATCGGGAGCTCGCGGCCGAACTCCTCCAGCGAAGACCTAAAATTCTCCATCAGGCCTAGATCAGCGGCGCACTGAGCTGGTGGCTGCTCCAGGCGCTCGAGCACCCGTCCGATGCCAGACTGGTCTCCCGCGGTCCAGTAGCACTCGAACTCTCCAAAGAGATTGGTCAGCCACCTAGCAGCAAACAGAGTACCATCGCCTTTGCCAGAGTCCTTAGACAGCACTGGGCGCCAGCACATTTGGGGAGGCTTACCACGAGAACCCCAAACAGGAAGGACCTTACCCGTGGCAGCGGAGACTTCACGCTCGGCAGCATTCGCCCAGTGCTTATAGACCAGGAGGAGGAGGAGGAGGATGAGGAGGAGGAGGAGGAGGAGAATGAGGAGAATGAGGAGAGGAGGAGGAGGAGGAGGAGGAGGAGGAGGAGGAGGAGGAGGAGGAGGAGGAGGAGGAAGGAGGACGACGCCTTCGGCCCCACCGAGGGCGAGACGTCCTCTCTGGGGCGCCCCTCTCGTGCTGGGGGCCCAAGGTCCCCGACGTCATGATTTTTTCAACGCGTCGATCCTCGGAGGTCTTGACCCATTCCCCTGGACCGGATTCCCACTCTGAGTCGGTTCTTGACGGCCCCGAGGGCCAGTAAGGGCCTCCGGAGGCCGAAAATGAGGAAAGACTCTCGCCAGGATTTCCGCATGATGCACCCGAGGGGGGGTCTGGGGGGAGGAGGGCGCCGCGGCCGCGCCATTCATGGGCTCCTTGGGGAGCTGCGGCGGTTGCTTCTCACTCTCCCGCTTTGCCATCTGGGACTTGGGCCTCGGGGCCGCGTCCTCCCGCTGCTGCGGCTCCTCGAGGGGCGCCGCAGGTAGGGGGGGGGGGGGCCGCAGCGGCGCTTCGCGAGGCCTCTCCGGGCGGCCGACGCCGGGCCCGCCTGGAGATCCTGGCGCCTCGCCGGAGGCCTTGGGCCTTTGCCGTCGTCGTCGCCGTCGTCGTCGTCGTCGTCGTCGTCGTCGATGTCGACGTCGTCATCGTCGTCGTCGTCGTCGGGGCCCGCCGGGCTGAACGTTTTGTCGCCTCTGTGTGGGGGCCCCGGGACCCTCGCAGAGCGGTCCAGCGGGGACAAAGGCGCAAAGAAATGGGGTCCAGGGTTCCCCAGACCCCCGACGTCGTGACTTTTTCACGACGTGCCCTCCAGGAGCCTGGACCCCTTCCCGGGGACCGGCGTGTCATCCTGAATCGTTGTTTGACAGTCCCGAGGCCCAGCGAGGGCCCCTGGAGGCCGAAAATAAAGAAAAAACATCCGTCGTGATTTCTTCACAGCGCGAGGAGGCCTGGGTCCAGGCGTGCTTCCTCTCGATGTTGCAATGGTTTCGCGACGTCGGCTCTCAGGGCGGCCCGGGCGGGGAGCTGGGCCGCCGCAGCGGGGCGGAGAGCGGCGGCAAGGGGGCGGAGCGAGGGGCCTCGGACTCGAGGACTCGAATGCAGAGTTGGGTCGGGCATGTCCCCCTACAGGCGGATTTTGGACGCAGAACAAAGAGATTCAAAAATATTTCAAAGAAGCCAACAAAATGCTCAAACATCGTCCCCAGTATTGTTTGGCTCTTTGGGGAGATTCCCCCTGTAGAGGGACATGCCCGATTTCAGGGCAGAAGGGGCAGCGCATTTGGCGGCGACCGCCGCGCTCCGCGCGCCGAAGGCCCCTAGGCGCAGAAAAGGCGCGGGAGGTCGCGAGGCGGCCCCAGAGACGGGGCGGATCTGGAGGACGAAAGAAAAGAACCACCCAGGCATCAACTTGTTTGGCGCTCCGCGCGGATTTCTTGGATCTGCGCTGCGGAGCGCGCCAGGGGCGGCGCCAGAGGCGCCTCGGGGGGGGGGGGGCCCAGCGCGGATCCGAGAGATCTGCGCGGAGCGCCAAAAGCTTACGTATGCTTATGGTGTTTTTCTTCATCGAGTATCTCCACCTCGCTTCCACTGTAGGGCAGGATGCGTAGATCTGCTGGGCGCAGGGCCCGAGCCGCACGGGGAGGGAGGGGGAGAGGGGAAAAGCGGGAGAGAGCCGGCGCCGCCCCCTGCGCGCTCCGCACGCCAGGGAGGGGGGGGGCTCCAGCGCCGATCTGGAAGATTCCGCGCGGAGCTCCGACATCTTAGATGGGAGGTTTGAGAGACCCTAAGACCCAATACGATTTCATCTCCTGGGGGAACATATTTTACGTCCGCCGCCTTCCGCCGAGCTTCCGCCGGCTTCCACTGGAAGAGGCGGCCTCGTTTTACTCCCGCCGACCTTCCGCCGCCTTTCAGCCGCGGATCCTCGAAGGCAAGGCCCCTTCTGGAACGGCCTATCTGATGAATTCACTGCGTCCCAAACATCCGGCGTCTCGTTTGTGTTCGAGACACGGGCCCCCGACCTTTCGACCTCTTCCCAAGAATCGTTTTTTCATCCGGGATACTTGTTTACGGCCCCGAGGCCCAGAAAAGGCCTCGAGAGGCCGAAAACCATGAAAAACCGTCGGCCACAGCCGCAACTGCGGTCGCAGCCGCGGCCGCGGCCGCGGCTGGAAAAAGAACACCACAGCAGAAAAATAGCGATAACTTCCCCCTCCCAGCTGCGGCCGCGATTGCAACCGCGGTCGCAGCCGCTATCGCGGCCGCGGCTGGAGGAATCGCAACAGTTTCCCCTTCCAGCCGCGGCCCCAGCGGCAACTGCGGTCGCAGCAGTAGCTTCCCCCTCCCATCCACGGCCGCAGCCGCAGCTGCGACCGCAGCCGCGGCCGCGGCCGCGGCCGCGGCCGCGGCTGGAAGACGAACACCACCGCGAAAAAACCTCGATAGGTTCCCCCTCGTAGCCGAACGCCAGACGCGTGGCGTGTTCCCTCAGGATAGCCAGGGGGAAAGGGAAGAGGGAGACGGGGAGAGGCACGGGGGAAGTGGAGGGCAGAAGGGCACGACGGGAAGCACACGCGGGGCATCCCTCGCTGTCTTCCTGCTCCACACGACGTCGCGCCTCAGGATGCTGTCGCCGTCGTCGTCGAATACTGTCTTCTAGAAAATACTTATTGCTGATCTCCAGAAACATTTCCGCGTGCTCTCGCCTCGACACCAGCTACATTTTCTCTGAAAACGAGGCTCCCGCGAGAGCCTTCGCTTGAGTGTAAGTGCGTGCCCTTGGAGACCCAGCTACAACGACAACGACTCCCGCTCGATACTTCCTCACACTTTGCGAGACACAAGAACGGCGCTCTCGCTCGAGACTTCCTCGCAATTTATCAAATTGGCGGAGGCCCGGCCACGACGACAAGGGCTCCCGTTTGATACTTCCTCACGATTTACTCCGAGAACCCCTGGCCAGGAAGGCCCCAGAACTCAGGAGCGGCGCTCTCGCTCGAGACTTTCTCGCGATTCAATCTAATTGGTGGAGGCCCATCTACGACGACAAGGGCTCCCGTTCGATACTTCCTCAAGATGTAATCGCAGAGGCCCTTGCCAGAGAGGCCCCCGACCTCAAGAGCGGCGCTCTCGTTCGAGACGCCCTCGTCATTCAGTCAAGTTGGTGGAGGCCCAGCCGCGACGATAGGGCTCCCGTTCGATACTTCCTCAAGCTGTACTTCGAGACCCCGTGGCCAGAGACTGAAGTTCAGCAGCGGCGCCGGAGGCCCACCTGCGACCACAGGGTCTCCCACTCGACACGCCCTCGCAATGTACTCCTACACGCCATGGCCAGAGAGGCCCCCGAACCACAGAGACCCCAGCACGCTGCTCATTCAGGCCTTCGGACACAGCCCACAGAAGCTCCAAGCGCGCCCACAGGTGCCCCAGCACGCTACCCACTGAAGCCCTCGGACACTGCCCACAGAGGCCCCCGCGCGCTCACAAAGGTTCCAACACGCTGCCGATTGAGGCCCCCGGACGCAGCCCGCAGAGGACCCAAGCGCGCCCACAGAGGCCCCAGACCACAGGCCCCAAGCGCGCCCACAGAAGCCCCAGCGCGCTGCCCACTGAGGCCCCAAGCCAGCCAACAGAGGCCCCAAGCGCGTCCACAGAGACCCCAGCCCACACAGGCCCCAAGCGCACCCACAGAGGCCCCAGCGCGCTGCCCACTGAGGCCCCGACACAGCCTACAGAGGCCCCAGCCAACAGAGGCCCCAAGCATGCCCACTGAGGCCCAAGCGCGCTGATCACTGAGGCCCCCCGACAAAGCCCACAGAAGCCCACTGAGGCCCCCGCTCGCTGCCCACTGAGGCCCCCCGACACAGCCCACAGAGGCCCCAACTCTCTCCTGCTCCATTCTTCTCCCTTCCCCATCCGTCCTTTCTTCCCCTGTTTTAGGGGCTGCGTTAAATGTGCGTGGCAGGTAAGGAAGAGATACCCCGAGGTGGTACAGTCGAAGACGAAGAGGGCGGGTATCGAAGGTTTCGGATATACGTGTTGAGTGGCACGCAATCAAGTAAGAGCGTACAGTCTTAAAATAATCGTCGTTGTCGTCGTCGTCGCCGTCGTCGTCGTCGTCGCAGTCGTCGTCGCCGTCGTCGTCGCCGTCGTTGCCGTCGTCGTGATGGGGCCGCGGGGGTCCCACAGAGGCTCCTATATGCAGGATTACCCAGCGAACCCCGAGCCTGGGCCCACCGAGCGAGCGCCTGTCGTCGTCGTCGTCGTCGTCGTCGTCGTCGTCGTCGTCAGTTGTCGTCGTCTTCGTCGACGATCGCCGATCGTCGCGGAAGCAGCAGGGGCCTCCAGCTCTCGGTGGCGGTGCCACAAGGGCGGTGCCACAAGGCGTGCCGGTGGAGCGGGCTGGGCGTTTCACCGGCCGCGTCCTCAAATTTCGACCCACTGAGCTCTGCTCTTCCCCGCAGATCTGACGCTCAAGAGCAGGCGGTGTTTAGACTGTTTTCGGCCTCCGGGTGCCCTAGCCAGGCCTCGCGACCGTCGAAAAACGACTCAGGACGACAAAAGGGCCCTAGGGAAGTGGTCTAGACCTCCCACGCATCGAAAAAATATTGGAGCAGCCGGATGCCTGGGTCCAGCACTTTCGCAGGTGGGTGGCGGCTGGCGGGTGACTTTCGGTTCGCTTCACGTTTGGCTTCGTGGTACCCTGACACCGAAGAATATCAACTGATGCCGAAGGCGACCTGTTCTCAAGGTCGCCCCCATTGCCAGAGAACTCCGCCTGAACTTAGAACATGAGAACTTGAAATACTAGTAGCCAACAGCTTCACGGATAAAGGTGGGCTCGCCATCGAGAGTTCGCGCGCTCGCCATGAACTTTCCTTCTACGATGTGGCCCCCAACATTGAAGTCCCCAATTTTTGTACGGATGTGGAGCTGCTCCTGTCCAAACGCGAGTTCTCGCGTGCAACCTCCTGGCACTCTATGGATCCCTCGCTTGAGGCTCTGAGCCTTGCCTCGTATGTAAGGCGCTGCGCTTTCGAAGTCGCTTCCTCGCCTGGGGCCCATGCCCACATGCAGATCTCAAAAGCTCAGCCTCAACGCCACTTCATTAGATGGACGGAATGCGGCCCTTTCTCGACAGCACGAGGTCATCCTGGAGCCGCCGACACTGCTCGTGAGACCTCAGGCAGCCTGCGTTGGCCGAGGGTGGCGTCCAGTTCGGGATTCTGCGCGTTGGCAGACTCGTCGATCGACTGTTGACGCGCTCGCCGAGTCGCAATGTATGCACATGCCGTGGTGCACCGCCCCTCCCTCTGCCATGTCCTCCCCTCCCCTCCCTGACCCCTCCCTCGGGCGTTCGCCCCCCACGGGGGGGGGGGAGAAAACGGGGTGAAGACACGCGGGCCGTTCCAACACAGGTTGGGCCGCGGTTGCAGCGGGCCTTTCAAGAACCCTGCGGGGCAACTTCCCTGTAATCCTGGATCCCCCAGGCGTCTTGTCCACCAGCTGCCGAGCGCCCGAACTCCCTCACCCCCTCCTCTCTGCACCCACTGCTCCTCCTCCTCCTCCTTCTCCTCCTCCTCCTCCTCCTCCTCCTCCTCCTCCTCCTCCTCCTCCTCCTCCCTTCTTGGTCTCCCCGGCACTCCCCCCAAGGTCTGGGGCGGCGTCAAGGTCTCCAACCTCCATCTCCACCCTCCCCCCCCTTCCCACCACTCCCTTCGCCGCTCTCTGTCTCTCCCCCTTCCTCCCCTTCCCCATATCCCCGACGTTGTGTTTTTTGTGCTTCGCAGCGTGGACCCCTGGAGATCTCGGCCCCTTCCCCAGGAACGGCGTGTCCTCCCCGAGACTTTTCGGACACCAAGGCCGCGCTAACGACGTGCTTGATTAACGGTGCGGTTGTTGTGGCATCGAGCTCACGAAGAACAACATGTAGGACATCACGAAAGGCCGCTTCCTACATTTCAGACATGCAAATGTGCCGAACGAAAACGACACAACGAGTTGTAGGAAAACACGAACCACGCGTTCCTACAATTGGTTCGGCCACGAACCACGCCTTCCTACACTTGCATGTCCTACTTCGCCGCTAGCTAACGCACCGTTAGCGCGTCTACGGGGACAGTCCTGGAGCCTGCCGAAGGCCTCGGAGGCCGAACATAGCCAAAAACCTCCCGTCGTGAACATTCCACCGGATCTCTTCCCACAGCCGTGGGGCCCGCCGAGGGTCTCGGAGGCCGAACATCGCCACTGAGGCCTCCCGTCGTCGGCTCTCCACCGCGAGAGAGAAGGCGGCCCCCCCCCCTCCTCTGCCCCCCTCTCTTCTCCCCTGCGGGGTGGCGGCTCGGAGCCCGTGGCCAGCGCCAGAGCGCCGCTGTTGGGCAGAGGGATGGCGGACCGACTTCGTGATGTGTTCCTGACGTGGACCCCCGCGGTCTGGGCCCATTCCCCGGGCCGGTTTTTGATCCCGAATCTTTCGGTGGACGGTCCCGAGGGCCTGCAAGGGCCCCTGGAGGCAGAGGATAACGACAAACCTCCCGTCATGAGCGACGATCAGAATCGGGTCCTACGCGAGATGGCATAGCGACCTTACGCCACAGCTTCAGCGGGCCGCCAGCGTGGCGCGCTACATTGGAGACAAGGGCGCTTACGCGCCACCTAACGCGGGCAGCTCACGCGCCAATGTCGGCGCAAGTGAACCCGTTTTCCTCGTCGATCATTATCCGACGGGGTGATCTCGGGGAGGCGCCTTCTGCGCGGCGAGGAGCTCTTGCACGGTGAACTGGCGCACGTCGGACTGCTGCTGCCCCTGCGCCTTCTGGGCCTGCAAGTCCCGCCCCCCCGTCTCTTGACGGGGAGGAGGAGGAGGGGGAGGAGGAGGAGAAGGAGAAGGAGGAGGAGGAGGAGGAGGTGGAGGAGGAGGAGGAGGAGGAAGAGGAGGAGGAGCCGCAAAGGGAGGAGAAGAAGGAGGAGGCACAAGAATCCAGGAGGCCCAATAATCGGAGGAAGAAGGGACGCGGGCTGGAACCCCGCGTCAGGCTGCCCGGAGGGCCCCCCGAGCCTCTCCCGAGGCAGCTCTCTCCCGCCCTTCGTCCGATGTCGCCATGAGGTCTCTCGGGAGGCGCGGGGGTTGGCCCCTGAGCAGCCCCGTCGCCTTCGCAGACCAGGGAGAGCACCGGCTATACACCTGCGCCGATCCTGGCCAGGCCCGTCCTGGGCCCATAGTAGGTGTGTGCGCCCTGCCAGCTTGGGCAGGAAGGCAGACACACCGATCCTGAGCCCAGGATCGGCCTGCCCAGGATCGGTGCAGGTGTGGCACTGGTGCCCTCCGAAGACCTCCAGCCACGGCGGCGCGCACAAGGGGGGCAGGGAGAGGGGGAAAAGGCTTCCAGAAGTAGGCTGCTCCTTAGAAGGCGTCGGCCCTGGATCTGCCGATGGGGCCCGCGCCTTCAAAGAAGCGGGGGCGCTTCTAAGAAGCCTCCCACCCCTCCCCTTACCTGCCTCTGCGCGTGGCAGACAGACGGCTTCAAGATGGGGGCACGCTCGACCTGGGAGCCCTCTTCTGCCCTCACGGGCGAAGATAGAAACGGCACCCGTGAACAGGAACCATAGGCATGGCATGACAACCGAAAGAACGGCCTGGTGAGCATCAGCATCAAGACCGAACTTCTATGTTCTATCTCCTGTCATCTGGGCATCATCCCTCGAGGCCCCATCTGCGAATAAGGCTGGCCCGCAGCGCAGGCGGCACTCCTCCTCCTCCTCCTCCTCCTCCTCCTCCTCCTCCTCCTCCCCCTCCTCCGGGTTCTGAGAAGGCCTGTCCCTCTCACTTCCCACCTCGGCGCGCCGCTGGCCCCCCGCCCCACACCCAAACGCATGCAGAAATCTGTGGGTCCACTATCATGGCGCTGCCGTTGAGGCGGCTTGAGCAGTGTCCAAGAGCTCCGCGTCCCCATAAACAGAGGTGCGCGTCAAAATGCTGAGGTCGCGGCGACATCCTTCTGAAAAGTCCATCTTTCCTTAGACTCTTCTGTTGTTCATGGCGCATGCCTGATCGATGCCAAAGAGTCGGCATACAACCTTGCCGCAGGACCGTCATAGCCCTTGTCCCCCGAATGAGACCAACAGTCGTAGAGAATGCGTCCGAGTGTATTTCTAGATTCTGACAAGTTTACTTGCATCTAGGAGGGACTCCTGAGCTGTCACAAAAAGCGACGGGGAGTGAACAGCTGGCACCCGGGAAGGGTCGGGAGGGACGACAGGGTAGGATAGCAAAAGGCAGTGTAGATAATCAGCTCGCGTAGCTGGCTTTCCTGGCGCGGGGAGGCGCCTCTGCATCGAGGAATGGGCCCAGCGGCGGGGCCAAGACCAGCTGCACGCAGCAGATCTCGAGGCCCCTCTTCTGCCCTTCTCCTACCCTTCTTGTCTGGCCCGAGCGAGGTCCTTGCGTCTGTGGAGCCGCCCTGTGAACAACATCGCGACGTCTGTTGTCTCTGGGCCCTCCCCCCCCCCCCGGCTGACACCGGGAGGCGGGAGCGGGGTCGCAGGGGAAGAGGCGGCTCCAGGGTCTGAAAGTGGCCGCGCGTGGATCCCGAACGGGCGCAGGGTCCAGGCAGGAAGGCAGGGGCGGTCAGTGGCGACGACGGCGGCGACGACGAGCCTGTGGCGACGGCGACGATGAGACCCACGAAGGTGGGGAGGGGGGCAGCGCAGCGGGGGAGGGAGAGGGGACGCGGTCAGAGAAGAGAAGGGGGCCATTGCCCTCTTGGGCCTTCTGCGGCCTTCGGAGTGGGGGTGGATCCCACGACGCAACCCTGAACTAGCAAAGCGCAAGCGCAAGACGTTCTCCAAGTTAGGCCCCCCTGCAACCCTGTCGTACGCAACATGTCATGTGAAGACGGCTGTTTTCAGCAAGCCAGAATGGCAGAGTGCCGATCCACAAGCTTGAAGTCAGCACACGCTGCGCCAGGCGCAACGTGTCTCCCAGAGGATGCAACATACACAATGCAAAGTGCCCCTGACCCTGATCTGACCTGTGAAGGAGTGCTCACGAATCCGACGGGCCTCAATAGGGGAGGGATCCTCACGAGGAGGGAAGTGAACCCTCAATGGAAAACATATAATGCGATTGCGGCCAGCAGCATCGGTAGTCGGATTAGTACGGGGATCAGACAAAATAGCAGGAGGAGCAAGGAGACGCATCGAGGAGGGCGGAGATGCGCCAACCGCAGCGAAAGGGCCTGCTGCTGCTGCTTCTCGAACTGGTCGAAGATGGAAAGTCGATTGTTGTTGGTCTGGGAGGCGTCCTTGCCGGTATCCTGGCATGACCAAAACGGGGGCCGATTTGATTCGGGGTGACAGGCAGCAACTTGTGCCGACCGCGACTGCTGCTGGCTGATCTAGGATCGCCAGCCGTGGCGGAAAGCCGAATTATCTCTTGCGAGGTGTGTCGCTCGAATCTCGCGCGCCCTGCCGAGCAGATCCGATGCGGGCCAGCCCCCTGCAGTCAACCCGTATAGTAAGGACGCGCACTAAGGATGCAAAGGCCTTGGAAGGCCGTTTCGACACCTTTCGAGCTGAGCGTGGCCAGAGAACGTGGCCAGGGATGGGCCAAAAGGGACGGATGCAATGGTAACCTTGGAAAGTTGCTCATTCTTGCTGCGCGGGCTGACCGTGCAGTCAAAACCATGAGAGAAGGACCACTCTGGGCGTAGGAACGGCTCTGCCCTTCGGGCCGCTCGTCAGCCTAGGAGTAAGTCGGGCATGTCCCCCTACAAGTGCATTTCGGAAGAAAAGCAAGACACTAAGCCAAACATGCCACCGTCATGGTCAAACATATCAGGAACATCGTCCCCTGACGATGTCGTTTGACTATGCTTGAGTATTCCTCCTGTAGGGACATGCCCGACTTACGCCTACTCCGAGGAGGAGGCGGCGGCGGAGGAGGAGGCGGCGGAGGAGGAGAAGGAGGAGGCGGAGGAGGAGGAGGAGGAGAAGGAGGCGGCGGCGGAGGAGGAGGCGGCGGAGGAGGAGGAGGCGGAGGGAAAGGAGGAGGCGGCGGAGGAAGAGGAGGCGGAGGAGGAAACTCTCGCCGTGGCCAGCGCTTTCGCACGGCGGCCGCACGCAAATCTCGGGGCTGTGGCGGAGCCGCTCGGCTCGCCGCCGCAGCGCCGCCGCTGGTGGCACGACGGCTGCAGCCCAGACGCCCCTCGGACTGCAGTGGGGGCCCGACCACAAGAGACCTTCCTGAGACCCCAGGACGTTTATTGATTACTGGTGTGGGAACGTCACGCTCTCCATGGCCAAACCATCGAAATCCAAGAAGCCCAGGGCGCCCTGGAGGCAAGCAACGTGTTTCTTGGCATGGGTCTCCCCTGTAATGATAAAATCAGCACGGAAGGTTTTTCCTAAATTTCGGCCTCTGGTGGCCCTCACCGGCCCTCGGGACCGTCAACATAATGACTCTGGATGGAAAACGGGTCCAGGGTAAAGTGGGTCGAGACCTCTGAGGGTCGAGGTTATGAAACAACCATGACGTCGGGGGTCCGGGGCTGCAGCCCAGACGCCCCTCGCGCACGCTTCGCTGCCATGTCTGCGCCAGCGCGTCTCCAGAGGCATGGCCGGCCTCTGGGTCGAAGACACACCTTGTCGCTGTTGGCGCTGCTGGCTCCCTTGCCTTTGTACGCCTCCATGGTTCGTGTGACTGCTACTGTTATCATTCGTCCTCCTCGCGCGCAGCAACGGGTTCGTCCTTGTCCTCCACCTCATTTCACTCCTCCTCCTCCTCCTCCTCCTCCTCCGTCTATGATGGCAGCTCTTCCAAACATGTTTCACAAAGACCTGGAGGGTTTCGGCGCTCAACGAATCCGCTAGGCCACGATACCCATGCTGGGCACGACGATGACATGATCCTTCGACCTGGCTGCGGAGGCTGCATGGGTGATGCGTATGCTGTGCGATCGATAGTACATACCTTTTCTCCTGCAGTGGAGGCATGGCAGCCTGCGCAGTCGAAGTGGGATCCTAAGAGACGTGTACTTGAGGTTCGTGATCCTTTCTCTCAGGAGTTGCTTGAGCTATCGTGGGGAATCGTCCTACGTCGGTCGCTGAGCTCGTATCTCTCAGCAAGGCTTCAAGCCGGGAACTGGATAAGGCGCTGGAACCTAGGTGGTACCGACAGATTATCAGGAAGCAATCTTATCTTGTGACTCTCCGTGGGCGTGGAATTGGTGCTGCGGTTTGTTTACTGCGAGATGGGACGTTTCACTGTCCTGGAGCGCACTCTTCGGTCGTTCGGAGTCTCGGAGCTATGATGAATGCCACGGCCCGACATGGGCCCGAGTTGCTATCACAAATTGATGCTTTACGATGTGGGTGGTGTACAATTGGGGCATTACGGTCACTAGCTAGTGTTCCTCATCGATTACGTCGGGCCATGCTTATCACCAAGATATATCGTACAGCTGCATCTGGGATCGAGGCCTGGGTCCCCACTGCACGAGATATGAGTCGGCGTTCCTCGGCAGTCATATGCACGGCGTGCTATGCGAGGGCAACCATGCGATCTGGACGCTGCTGGCCATCCTCGCAGCATGACTCATGCGGAATGTGTTCGTTGGTGGCGGCTTGCGCCGCTAGGAGTGGACGCACGCGCGCGCGTAACCTTCAATTGCTGCAAGAAGTGGGGCGATGCCAGTCTACACATCGCCAAGGTAGTGCGGCGTTGTTTGGAAACTGGTGTGCGAGCTCTACCTCATTAAAGTGGACGGGGGGTTGGCTGACGGTGCGAATCCTTGGCGAACATGTTTTGGGCTGCTCTGTACGATTTATCCAGAATCGAGGCGGGGTCTAGATTGTGGGAGGAGCTTGACGGATGCTTTAAGAACCTGATCACCAATGGTACTGTCGGAGCATACTTTTGAACATGCATATTCCTTAGCTTCGCAGCTTCGTGTAGACAGCAGCTGTTCCACCGTGTTCGGTGCATGGTCGCGGTATTGATCGAGAGGCGAATCTATCGACCTTGGTGGGGCACGATCACCTATACATGTGGTTTGGTTTACCTGATGAGGGGCGGGCACCCTGTAGGTCATGCGTACCGATTGACTCTGGGATACACACACCATCGCACACCATGGATATCGAATGCCGGGGCATGTTCTGGCTTAAACGAACCAATGTCCTGTGTGCGGCACTGTGATTGGAGAACGTGTGTCATGCAAACGATGTGCCGTGGGTATCGTGTGCCTGGCAGGTCTCGGAACACAGGAGCAGTGGTCACCCCAGCTTGTTGATCCTGTCCACTGTGTGACTTTGAAGGCGCAGAATTTGTTGGGTTCCAGGGGCACCTCGGAACACATCGTCACCTGGCTCCGCCTGCTGTGCTATCCATCTCTGCCCGCTCGCGCCGATGGCTCTCCAGGGATGGATACCCAGCCGCCCTGGATGCTGCAGGAAGAGGAATGCGACGATGGAGGCGGAGAGGAGAAGGCACCAAAGCAGAGCAGGATCGCAGACGAGGCTCGGGGGAAGGCTCACGGTGGCAGCGTGCTCGTGGCTTTAGTTAAGGTGCTGACCAAGCTAGCGTTGGCCAAGTGAAGCGACATCCGCGACTTGTGCGGGGCCGTCTTCATAACTTTTTCTCGTGGCCGCCGACCAGGTGGACGTCAAGGCAGGGAAGGAGGAGGGGGTGAAGTACCACAAGGAGGCGCTGCGAAGGAACGAGGAGGGGGGGGAGCTCCGACGACCTGGGGCAGCCTTGTTTGCACATGTTCGTGGTGATGCTGCGGGCGATGGGCCAGGATCCGCAGTGTCCAGAGTCGTGGAAGCCCGTGTTCAACAAGCGGTGGAAGGAACAAGTCATGCTTCTACTGCTCCAGGGGCTGGCCGGGCTCAATCGTCATTGTTGTGTGAGGCCCACGCGCAAGGTCGAGGGGAACGGAGACAAGTTGACGGCCACCTTCTGCGTGGACGCACAGCTTCCAGACCTCGAGCGTGCGATGGTGGTCTACTTTACCCAGGTCGGAGGTCAGCGGAAAATCGGAGCGCCCCCCAGGGGCGCGCTGAAAAATGAGAGAGAGAGAGAGAGAAGCGGCGAAGTTATTAGAGAAGTTAAACCAGCAGTAGATCTCGATATTGACAGTCGTCTACATCCGTTCGTGGGTAGTGATTTCGGCAACTGGTGGAAAGAGAAGAGAGGTACCGCCGCTTCTGCTGCCAGTAGCGTGTCACCTCCTTCATCGTCCTCCAAGCCCTCCGAAGTACGACTCAGCCTAGATACCTTGTTTGTCGGGGGTCCCTGGGGCATGAAACGAAGCGCGTTGAATGGTGCCCTAGCTCCCCTCCAGCTGGAATCCCCAGCTTGGGCGTGCCGTGGCCCGAACGTTCCACCGCCTGCAGAGTCAGGTGGCAAAATGCGGCCTGACCGCCACTCAGTCACCCAGGCGCCACTCAGGCGTCAGACCCCCAAGAAATTCCAGTTCAATTATGATACTCCGAGAATGTCGGGCATGCCCCACACCCCGCTGCCCTCGTCTGCCTCGAAGACGCATAGGCGATGTCCTTCAAGTTGAGCTCGAGCGATCCTGCACTCGAAACGCTTGGCTCGCTTGTCGTTACGCGCGCCCCTTGCCGTACCCGGCTGGGCAAGGCTGATCCACGCGAGCTTCGGCCGCTGGTGGCGCAGGGAGTCCGCCCACCTATCCTCTTGCCCGAGGAACCGGTGAACATCGCAGTTGCGACCCACCGCATATCCGCATCCGCGCAGCGCACTCTGGCATAGGTTCTGCAAGTCGCCGAACACCCATGCCAATGGCGGTCTCCCCTGTACTTCTCTGGCGCCCCCGCCGCCCCGAGCACCAAGATGGGGAGCCTGCGATCAGAGTTGCAGGCCGCCCTTGTCGGGCTGCCCGCCAGAACTGCTCGCGGCGGTTCCGCTGCTGGATGACGTTGCGGTAGTACTCTTCTTACTCGCCATGCTGGGCGCCGTCGGAGTTGGCGAAGTCGCTGCTGTCGGGAAGGTGGTATCGGACGCAGCTGACGTAGCCAATGCCATGGTCTTTGTCGGCCCTGCACTCCTCGATGTCGTCAGCTCGTCGTGCAGGTCGCAGGGCAACATGAGATGGCCAGCATGGCTCTCCTCCAGGTGGTACTGTGCCGATCCAGGGCTCAGCCGCAGCGAATAGCCACCTGGGCCGATGCGGTGCAGCCTGTTGTTGAAGCAGTCCAGCAGGGTGCGCTGGCCCCGCAAGGACTTCCGCCCGAGCAGCGCTGGCACGCTTCTGTTCGGGAGCACCGGTGCTTCATCGGTAGCAGCTTGACCTCCCTGCAGTGCCAGTTGATAACGATGAGAGTGAGTCGCTTGCTGAGAACCTGAGCCCACGCCGCCAACCTCGAGCGTCTTGCCGAGGGGTGTGCGAACTGGTGGTGGGAGTCCTGCCTGTCGCTGCTTCTCGGCCATCCGATGGCCCCACTCGTCGCCAGTGAGGTTGCCTGGGCTCCCAGGCTCCACAAGCAAGGCTTCGCCGCTCTTGTTCTTCATGCGTGTGCGGACCGGGCAGGTCTCCTCGGTGGCGCTCTCGAGTCGGTCCACTCGCCACCACGGAAACCATTCGATGCTCGTCTTCACGTCGGTGTGGTCCTCTGCGCTCGCCTGTATCTCTGCCATCATGTCGTGCTCCGTGATGTCGTCGAGCACGTTGAAGGTCTCCCAGTCCAAGGCCTCGCGGCCGTCGTCCTCGTCGAGGTCGCCGATCTGCGCGCCAGGCGTCTGGATATCGTCCGTGAGGTAGCGTAGTACTCCAGCCATCGATCCTGTCCTTGGCTGCGCCGGGGAAGGTGAGTACGCGGCCAGCACTGGATCCGCGGCTTGTGAGCCAGGTGTCTGTGAACCCGTCGTGGCGCTAGGCGCGCTCCAAGCCGTGAAGTGCTTGCCCTTGCCCTTGCCCTTGCGCTGGGGGCAGGAGGCCGCGAGGTGCGTCTTCGAGTCGCACTCGTGGCATCGCGTGACCCGGCCGCCCCTGCCCCGAGGGTTGGTGGCACTCGGCGAGCCCGCCATGTAGTGCTTGCCACCCTTCTTCCTCTTGCCCTTGCCTCCTGCCATGGATCCAGGATTCACAACTGATCCGCCGAAGTGAGATCCCTTGCCATGACCTCGTCCTCGTCCAAAACTGCTGCCCTTCCCGCTGCTCATGCGCATGGACCAGTTGCTGCGCGGGAAGCGTGCGCGGCGGCTGCCGCGATGGACGAAGTGACGGAACCTGCGCTTGGCAAACAAGTACTCGTGCAGCAGCGCGTCGTAGTCCCAGCCCTCGGAGTCACCGCAGTACTCCTGGAGCTCCTCTGGCGTGAACTCGGATATGTCCAGGTCGCCATCGTCGGTCATCGAGTCCTCGTCACCAGGTTCGTCCTCATACAGATAGCTCACACAGGTTGCACAGCAATCGTAGCCCTCCTCGTCCTGGACAACGTAGTGCTGAGAAGAGTTGCCGTGCGCGGCCGATCCCGTGCTGCTCACGCCGGCAGCACTTTGTCCGTACATGCATGCGGCCGTGTCACTCCATGTTGCTGCGCCGTTGGCGCCATCGCCCGTAAACCGATGCTGACCGTGGTGTCCCTTGCCGCGGTAGCCTTCGGCCAGGCTCTGCGGTCCCGCGTGCGTGTGCTCCGCGGAGTGCCCCTGCTGCCGCACCATGCCTATCACCGTGTTCAGCTGATCCGTCGTCGTTGGCAACTGGCCGTTGTTGCTCTGCAGCACGAGGGGGTACACCGCCTTGGGCACATGCATCGCCTCCAGGAACAGCAGAGCGAGCACGGGCGTCGGGAGCACGAACTGATCGTCGAGTTGACCCACTCGTTCGCGCAGCGCCTCGAAGCGGGTGACCGCATCGTCGACGCTCTCCCGCTCCTGATGGCGGACGGCGAGTAGCTCCACGATAGTGCTGATCGACGTCTGCACATCAAGCGGGCCGAAACGCCGTCGGAGTCCAGCGATCAGCATCTGCACGCCGTCCTCGATCTGGTTGCCAAGCCCATCGGACCTGCCCAGCGCGATGTTCTCCACCGGCAAATCGCGACAGAGGTCCTTCGCCGTGCCGCCCAGGCGCTGGACGATAGCTGGGCCACGCTGTGGGGGCTGCAGCTCCGTCGCGGCACACCACAGCATCACGTCCTGGACCCACAGGCGGAAAGGGTAGCCCCGCTGCTCGAGATACGGAGCCCAGAACGGCGGGACCTTTGACGTACTCTGCTGGACCAACTCTGCTGCCGGCAGGCCTTGTGGTTGCTGGTCATGCGCATGGGGCCCCCAGGCAGGTGCTGGCAGGCGCGACTCGCCGATGCGATGGCCCCGCTGCGGCGTCATCGGTCTGCACCTCTGGGGCTCCGCCAGCGAGAGCACACAGCTGGCTGCAGTGGTCAGAAGGCCGATGACCGTGATGAACTTCATGATCTTGCCGAGACTCGAGTGCCTCGCCAGAGGCGACGAGGAAGAGCTTCCAGTTCTCGTCCTGGTGGCCTGTGTCGCACAGGCCGCACGCGAAGTCGAAGTAGCACAGGTACAACGCCTTGGGCTCGTCCGTCTTCCGCTGCCGTGGTCGTCGCGCACAGGGCCGGCAGAGACTGCAGCCGACCCTGCAGAGCCCTCCGGCTCCGCTACCAGAGTCGAATGACCTCTGGTGAGCTTCTCCCCCGCCTCCTCGGGGCCAAACGGCCCTACCGTCCCTGAGATGATCGTCACCATCGCCATGAGATACGGTCCTGAAACTGAGATGGAATCTTTATCTCTCTCTGTCGACAGTTCGGCCGGGCTGGCCGCCCGGCTGGTTGAGCCTGAAAGGCTGCAGTGCACACAGCATGCTGCTCGCGCCTCTCCCCTGCACCCTTTCACTGGAGGAGGAGAAGGAGGAGGAGGAGGAGGAGGAGAAGAGGAGGAGGAGGAGGAGGTAGGAGGAGGTAGAGGAGGAGGGGGGGCGGATCCGGAGGCGGAGGAGGAGGAGGAGAAGCAGGAGGAGGAGGAGGAGGAGGAGGAGGAGGAGAGGAGGAGGAGGAGGAGGAGGAGAAGGAGGAGGAGGGAGGAGGGAGGAGGAGGAGAAGGAGGGAGGAGGAGAAGGAGTAGAGGAGGGGGAGGCGGAGGCGGAGGCGGAGGTGGAGGAGGAGGAGGAGGAGGAGGAGAAGCAGGAGAAGGAGGGGGAGGAAGAGGAGGAGGAGGAGGAGGAGGAGAATGAGGAGGAGGAGCACGAGGAGGAGGAGGAAGAGGAGGAGGAGGATCGGCGATAGACCGCACATCTGCCCAAGATCGAGCGGGGCGCGCGGCGGCTGTCCTCTGGCTTCTGCGCCCGCGCCGCCTGCGGACCGGCGGCGGCCAGGGTTGCGCCGCGGGGCTGGACCTGCACCGCCACAGGGGCGGCGAGCACGGAGGCGGGGGCGTCCTGTTCGGGGGGGGCGACGCTCTTTCTCCTCCTCCTCCTCTCCTCCTCCCCTCCTCCTCCTCCTCCTCCTCCCCCGCCCTCCTCCTCCCACTCATCCTCCTCCTCCTTCTTCAATGAGGATGTGGGCCTTGCACAGATAGTTGTAGGAGCTGTCTTGAATCCTCCAGATATCACGTGAGGTTCCTTGCGTCGCCACCACCAGAAAGGGGCTTGAGGCCCTGAAAATGCTGTTCCTCATAGCCACAGATCGTTGGATTCTCGCGGCTCCAGTACTGACAAGCCCGCTGTGGTAGCGGAGCGAGTCAGCTCCGCGGGTCAAGCCTTCAGTCGGCTGGCCCTCCGCGCGACCAGCGTCGCGCATGCCCGCGCCTCCGCAGGCAATTTCGAGAACAACATCTACGTTCAGAGCATCGGCGGCCTCCCGCACGATCCCCACGGTGAGCCCTCGCGCGCCCGTGGCTTACTTCCTTCCTTGCAGCGGAAGGGTGCATCCGCCGACACGGCAGCCAAGCAGTCGCCATGCTGGTCATATGCTCGAGCTGTGGCTGCAAGAAGAACAAGCCAAATTTCTCATGGTGCATGCATTGCTGGCAAACGCTCCCGAAGGTTCAGCCCAGCGATGATCATGCTAGTAACCGTGCTGCTGCCCATTGGAGTTGACGTGGTGGCAATGGTGGCTTCAAAGGCAGTGGCAACACCTCTGGTCCAATGCCTCTTGACAAGCAACAAATACAAGCGTTCACAGCCATGTCCGACGAGCACTACGCCACCGCATGCTCTCTTCCCACAGCTGCACAACGTGCTCAAAAGGCATCCGAACGCGCCCAGCAGTCACGAGATCATCATGCCGTGTCTCGAGCAGCTCAGCAGGAACACGGGCAGCTCAAGGCGAAGCTCGCGGCAATCGGCGCAAAGCTGGAAAAAGGCCGCCGCCCTGCTCAAGAAACAGCTCCAGCGCGTGGTCGACCACAGATTGAGGCAGAAGTCTTTGCAGGAGCAGGAGCGCCGCCTCGCAGCTGAGATGTCTCAGCAGGCCTGGACGCAGATTGCAGGTCCAAGCACTTCTGCCACGGCCGCCGAAGATTCCCCAGAGAAGGCTCTCTTCCAGAGTTTCAACATCCTCGACTCAAGCCTCGCCACGCAGTTCAACCAGCTCCTCACGGCCCAGACGCAAGTCGAGAGCCAGAGGGCAGCTCAGCGTGCGGCTTCAGCTCCGCCTCCTCGTGCTGCGCACCTGCCTGCCCCCTGTGACGGTCGCGAGCAAGCCTTGGATGACGCTGATGACATGGAAGATGGCGAAGGCAGTTTTGATGATCCCTGGGCCGACAAGGCCTCGATGCAGCAGGTGATACTCTCAACTGTCGGAATTGCCGAGAGGGCGGATCACATCGCCGCCGCCCACGGTGTCAATGCATGGCAGGTCTCCAGCATCCTCGAGGACGTCGCGGCCACCGCGGCGAGCAGCTCTACACCTACCAGGCGTGATGGCTGTCGCTCTCCTCGCCTGGCTGAGCGCAAACCGTCGGTTTAGCAATGGGGAGGCCTCCTGCTCGCCTAGCAACAAACCTAATCCTCGGGATTGGTTTACAGGCACCGTCACGGAATATTCCGATATCAAGCGAGTGTTGGGTGGGTTCTCTGGTTTCGATGCTCTCGTCGCTCAAGAAACTTACAACGTGTTGAGTCTCGTTTATCAGGGGGCCTCTCTTCGCCACGTGGGTTGGTCGGCAAACTGCTTGCAAGCGGTGAACACTGGGAACGGAGGTGCTCCAGGGGGATTGCTAACGTTGGTTCCTAAACGCATCGGCATGGCCTTCCTGGACTCAGAGGCCTGTGAGATTTCCCCTGGTCGCTGTTCGGTTCTCCACGTGTGGGGGATGGCGAAAGGTGGATTTCTCTTGGGGAATATCTACCTCAGCGATCGCGGCAACCTTGCAGATTTCAATTGCAATATGTTTACATGATTGGAGGCAGTCGTCAAGAGCGCACATCCCGTTCATCATAGGAGGTGACTGGCAGATCGAGCCAAAGGAGTTAGACGCCTCTGGATGGGCGACAGCGCTCGACGCGACCATCGTTGCTCCTACGGCTGGCAGCGGGTCGCACGATCGATTTCTTTGCTGTTGCCTCCAACCTCCTTGGTAAACACTCTATCAAGGTACTGGTGGACATCCCCACCTTGCCTCACTCGCCCGTCCCCCTGCGCATGGCCGCCCCTTCCAGCGACGTGAAGGTCAGAAAGAGTAAGGTTCCCAAGCGGTTCCCAGTTGCGATGCCCATCGGCTGCGAGAACGAGCCCGGTGGGAGCATCTGGGAGCACGCTACGCAAACTATTGCAGATCCAGGCTCGATCGACGCCACGTGGGATGCATTCATTGCTACCGCTAAGCTTGCATGGGTCAGGATCTTTCAGATACCGCCCGACGAGTCTGAGAAGAACTGCGGGCGCGTCATGCCCATCAAGCCCGGCTTCTGGCAGACGAATGTGGCCACACCCACTGGGGCCTTGGGGGGAGCTCCCTATGGGGCCACGAAGCGCTGCACTGGGTTTGGCGGACGCATGTGGCCACCACGCCACCACCACTGGGGCCCTCGGTGGAGCTCCCTATGGGGCCACGAACAAAGGTACTGGGTGTGGCGGACGCATGTGGCACACCCCACTGGGGCCCTCGTTGGAGCTCCCTATGGGGCCACGAAGCGCTGCGCTGGGTGTGGCGGGCGCATGCGGCCACCACCACTGGGGCCTTTTTTTTAGGTGTGGCCAAGCTCGCGCGGCGCGAGCTCAGGTTCAAGTAGCTGCCAAGGGGGCAGCTGTCAGGCGGCAGACGAAAGCCTCGGGAAGCCGAGCAGCCAAGGAGCGAGCAAGCCAAAAGGGCCAGCCCGCCGCTGCCGAGCCTGACCCGTCAGCCTGCCTTCGCCATCGGGCGCGCCAGCTTCGGCGGCAGTCCCCGCCTGATATTCGCAACCTTCTCGAGGCGGTGCTGCAGGCCTCGAGCGGTCACGGGCAGCGTGCACTCTGCGGACAAGCCCCTGTGCTTGCCGCCTATCACACGGGCATAGCAGTGGCAGCGCGTGCACACTCGACACCCATTTACAATGCACAGTGCGTGCCCGCCGCCGTCAACCCCTGGAACCCCTGTGCCTGCAGACGCAGAGGCCGAGGCTGCTAGGGGCCCAGAGGGTCCAGGCGGGTCAGCAGAAACAGCCTGGCCGCTGCTGCGCCTCGCGCTGACCGCGGGCTCGGCAGAAGGCGCGGGAGCGGCCTCAAACTCAGGCGACGCGGCAACCGAAGGACAAGCGGCATCGCCAACGGTGGGTGCCCCGTCAGCTCGGTCGGCCTCACTCACGGCCCCGCTCGCACAGGAGCCAGACGCTGCAGCCAGTAGGTAATCGACCTTCCCCTGGAACGTCCTGAGAACCTTGGCCCTGGGTTCCTCGCTGCAGCCGGTGGAGCCTTGGATCTCTTCCGCAGGGCTGCGGGCTCTGGACCTGCGTCCCCTAGGGAGCAGCGGTGCGTCCTGCGCGCCAGCCTCGCGCGCCGCCAGCGCTGCAAAGGCTGCGGCTGCTGTGGTCGCCGTAGGCAACGTAGCTCGAGCAGGCCTCATGCTCGCCGCGCCGCCAGAGTGAAGGGGTGCGTGCGGCCTGGCCACGCACGGCTTGGCCCAGAAGAGGGCCTTGATGTTGGCGCTGTAGGCGGTCTTCAGGCAACGCAGGCAGTGGATGCCGCCGTTGGGGACCTCGGCGACCTCATGGCCAGTGAAGTGGGAAAGGATCTTGCCATCCCGCCTGGCCGCCGCCTCGTCGGATACATCCGCACGGGCATCTGCAGCCTGGCCCCCAGCAGCTGCGACCCAGAAAAAGGCCGCATCCAGCATGGTCTGCCTCGCGGCCCCCGTGTGGCTGGCGATGAACTTGGCGCACCGATCTGCTTCCATGTTGCCGCGCCTCGCTCTGGCTGTGACCAGCCCTTCTTGCACGTGCTGCACCGAGGCGTGGGCCTTGACCTTGACCACGCGTAAGCCACCTCCGCCAAGCCCTCCGAAGTCCTGAATCGCGTGCCAAACGCGGACCCAGAGCTCGGCCCATGCTGACTTGCTGCTCGCGGTGACCTTCGGCCCGCGAATGTTGACCCCGTCCACCGCAAATGCTGCGTGAAAATGAGCCGTCACTGGTGGTAGACTGAACTTGAGAAGCAGGAGGATCGCCAGCAACTCGCCCCCGTCGATGGACTGCAGTGGCCCCACCAGCGGCGAGGCTAGAGCACGCGTGGCTGACCCTAGCCCAGGGTCCACGTTGTCACCCCCTGGGGGCAGGACCACCACCGCACAGCCAGCACAGGCAACCTGGGTCCCCCGTCGATGAAGGCACCGCCGGCGTACAGGCCAGGCACAGCAAACGGCATGCCCTCCTCGTTGCTCTTGATCCACTGCGCGTGCGCAAGGGGGTCGCCACCAGGCGGTTCCCACCCTGCGCGAGGCTCGAGTAACCACAGCCGCTCAAATAGCGTTTTGATCGTGGTGGAGCCCTCCATGCCCTTGAAATGCTCCAGCTCAAAAAGGTAGCGAGAGGTTGGGCCATGCTTCCTGGCACTCCATGTGACGATGCCACAACGTGCCCAGCTTGTCAGGGCACAGGGGGCATACAGAGTACGAGCTGGGGCCTGCCGCACAGCGCCTCTCATTCAGCCGCTGTCCGTCGACCAGGCACGATCTGGCGTTCCCAGCCTCGCTAGGGGCCAACGTCCTCCAACTCCGCGCCACCTTGGTTGTCCCGCGACCCGTGTTGAGCCAACGTCGGACCTGTGGCAAGAAGACTCCCCTGGCTTCGAAGATGACATGGTGCGTGGGCTTCTCTAGCTGTGCCAGCTGCCAGTGCTCGACGGACTTGGTGACAATCTGCCTCACCGTCCACGGCGAGTGCACAGCCAAGTTGAGCTTCTCGCCAGCCTCGGAGACCCACTCGGTGAAGGTGGAGAACGTGAAGCCGACCCTCTGCAGCGA